GTTTCGGAGAGAGAGAGAGAGAGAGAGAGAGAGAGAGAGAGAGAGAGAGAGAGGTGTAGGGAGGGAGAGGAAGGGAGAGAGAGGAAGGAGGGGGACATAGAAAGAGAGCTAAATGCAGTAAATATTGAACTATTAGAAGAAAAACAGTAACAAACATAAATACGACGAGAATAAAAAGGTGAAAAAGAAAAAAGGATATATATATATTACGATTACCAATTTATCGATTCGTAATTTATTAAATTCAATAGGCTGTATAGACGTCAGAATATAAATAATAAAATAATAAATTAATAAATAATAAATAATAAAAAATGAATAATAAAATATAATAAAATTAAATATAATAACGTAAATAAAATAATAAGAAATAAATAATGAGAGAGGGAGAGAGAGAGAGACACAGAAAGACAGAGACATATTTTTTATAAAAATGAATTATTCTAAAATAAAATTTAAAGAATTTGCTTTTTATGTACACCTAAATATTTATAATGTCCAAGTTCAACGTATAAAGTTATTAACAAAAAACTCGTTTTTAGTGATTAATGTTATTTTGTAAAAAAAGATGTGATATAAAAATAAAATTACGTTTTAAAAAAAAAGTAAAAAAAAGAAGCCAAGTGGATGCGCCTTAGCACTATTTGTCTTTACAAAATAATCGTTATAAATAAATTACAACAAAAACTCAGCTAAAAGATATTTTAAAAAATATTGTTAGAACAACCTTATTCAAATAAATTGTATTCTAGCGAATACTCTATTGAAAAATACAAGACAATTTTATATTCTTTATAAAAGTAACGATATCAAGAAATTTACGCCAAGTGCGAATGATTAATCATTTTAGTTTTTACTTTTATATATTTTTATAAACATATGTGGTTTTGGCTATATAATATATTTATAAATTAAATATATTATTATTAATATATTAGTAATATATTATTAAATAAAAAATACAATAATTAGAGAAATACAATAATGTTGAAAAAAATTATAATAACTTACACAAAAAGCATTTGGCGTGCCTTTCTTTATAGGCAAACGGGTTCTCTTATTTTAATGACTAACAAAATATTATATTGATTATATTGATTATGTAGCATTAAAAAAGAGCCCGCCAAGTGCTTTTGGGGAAAGTTATTATAATTCTTTTTCAACATTATTGTATTTCTCTAATTATTTTATTTTTTATTTAACAATATATTACTAATATATTAATAATATATTTAATTTATATAAATATATTATATAGCCAAAACCACATATGTTTATAAAAGTATATAAAAGTAAAAACTGAAATGATTAATCATTCGCACTTGGCGTAAATCTCTTGATATCATTACTTTTATAGAGAATATAATATTGTCTTGTATTTTTCAATAAAGTATTTGCGAGAGTACAATTGATCTGAATAAATTGTTTTAATAATATAATGAATTTACGCGTAGTTCCCTTAATGAGCCATTGAAAATAAGGCTCTTAATTACTTTAAAATATTATTTTTGTAGACACCTATAAGCTAATTTACATAACTATACATATATATAGACATATATTACATAACTATACATATATATTATGTCATGTTTTTCATATCACTTATGCCACGTATGCGCAGATGCTTACTATACATAATATATACTTTTTGAAGTCACTTTTACATGCAATAACTAAGAAAGTTAGTAGCCTAATATGTAATATAGTATGTAATAAATGTTTGTGTATAAAATATGTATTAACGCGTTACACTGTGATTATGTTGTAATATACTTACTTGCCGATGGCACATTAAAGTGCTCAATTGCGAAAGCACAGGCGATCACGGCAAGAAGAACTATGAGCGTCTTGGCGTTCATGGCGTTAAAAGTTTTTATTGCGTCGTACTATATTATACTGTTGTCGAGAGATTTGAAGATTACAGCTAAATTAGCGTGTCTCCAGTTTATATACGTATGCTAAATGTGGTAAGGAATTATGTGGTGATATGTACATCTGATTAATAGCGACTCATTGATTTCACTTCTGTGTTTGTACAACTCGTGAATGTAAATAGATCGTTCTGTACTGCTAATTTTTTATAAAAATTAACAGATCTGCACGTATTGAACTTTTCACGATCGACACCTGGAGTGTAAATATTTGTTCAATTGAAACATGTATCTTCTTAATAGTCTTCTCTTTTAACAACCAAGTATTCAAATGAAAAACGTATTTTTACTCAAAAAAATTGCAGAATATCAAGTATATAGGTGACATTCTATAGACATTGCAAATGATTATAACAGAAGTTATTCTTTATTTTAAGAAAGAAACAAAATGAACCATTTATAACTTGGAAACTAATTATTTCATCTCTTAATTCGATAAATGCTATTTATATATTTTCTACTATTTTTTTTAAGTGCCTCACATTAAAAAAATATATTCTTAAGCTGTTTGTGTTTTAAAGTACAATTACTCATAGTACTTTCAAAGATTTTTATGTATTTAACGTCTTTTTTGTTAAGGGGATGATTTATGACAATATTTGAAAATATTATAAAATATTAACTTTTTTCTACCTTACGTCATACTAGTTGCATAGTGTTGGGTGTGGGAAAAAGTTCGTAGCGTTTTTTTAATAAAATTCAAGTGTTTCTTTTAGAGTATTAAAATCAATTTATTCAAACCAAATATGCTCCATTGTTTTCGATAATATTTTGCCATTTTTGAGGCAGAGCCATAATCCCATCGCGATAGAACTTCTGTAGTTTCTGGTCGAAAAACTGCTTCAAGTGATTTTCACAGGCCTCTTTTAAAGGCCAGCTTTACACCAATAAGAGAGTTCTGCAGAAACCTAAACAAATGATAGTCTGAGGGTGCTATGTCGAGACTATACGATGGATGCATCAAAACTTCCCAGCCAAGCTTTCGCAATTTTTGTCGAGTCATCAAAGATGTGTGTGGTCGAGCGTTGTCGTGATGGAAGACGACACTCTTCCTATTGGTCAATTCTAGCCGCTTCTTCTCAATTGCTTGTTGTAATCTCTCCAGTTGTTCACAGTAGAGTTTGGAATTAATTGTTTGACCGGGCGGTAACAGTTCATAGTGAACAATTCTTTTCCAATCCCACCACACACACAACACCACCTTCTTCGTCGTCAATCCAGGTTTTACGATTGCATGCGCCTTCTCTCTTTCCTTTGTCCACGATCTTTTTCGAGTTCGATTATCGTACATGACCCATTTTTCAACAGTTATCATTCTCTTCAGAAATGGCTCAATTTCATTCCGTTTCAGTAGCGTATCACAAATGTTAATTCCGTTCATTATGTTCTTAACACTCAACTCGTAAATAACCCAAACATCGAGTTTCTTTTTGTATCCAGCTTTGTATAAATGATTCAAAACTGTTTTGTGGTCGATGTCTAGTTCCCTGGCAATCTCTACACTGCTAACATGCTTATCACGCTAACTCTTTCCATGATTTCATGAAATCATGATTTCATGATTTCGGACTTTTCGGTGATTGGGCGACCGGAGCGAGGTTCATCTTTGACATCGAAATTTTCAGTACGAAAGCGAGCGAACCATTTCCGCGTTGCTGATTTTGATAGAGTATCTTCACCGTAAACAGTACAAATTTGTTCACAAGTCTGTGCAGCGTTCTTGCCTTTATCGTAGTGATATTGCAAAATGTAGCGAATTTTTTCCTTTATCTCCATTTTCAAAATAACTTTTCCACTTCGCCGATTTCAATCTTTTTCGGCTCAAAACAAAGGTTGAAATGTCACACGTGTATAATGTTCTCGATGCGATTAATAATTACCGAGTGCTGAGCATATAATGCCATCTAGTGCCAAACGCCACGAACTTTTTCCCACACCCAATATTATGAATGTTTATACCAGTTAAACAAATTTATTCGAACATATTATTCATATTATGACACATGTTTTTTTTTTAGAAATGGTTGTTTCTTTCATTATTCTCCTTGTCGTTATTCTTATATGTATATTAAAATGCTAAAAATGTGGTTGCATATATCGATATTTATCATATCGATTTATCACTAAGATTGTGTTGACTATAGAAAATTAATTTCTTTTACCATTCCTATATATTTGCTTTTTTACTATATTTATAACTATATTTTTAGTATTTTTTACTATATTTATATTAAAACTATGATAAAATGACAATTTATAGTAATTAATGATAAAAGTCTACAAGTGTTAATTATATTATGCCTGTGTCGCAATTATTACCCTAACATTATGTACTAACACTTACTACCCAATGAAAAATTTTTCATATATAATTATTCATATATAATTATATAAAATTATATAAAATTATATATAATTATACATAATTATATATTATTATGTATCAAATTTGTCCATTCATGTTCATACATTCTACTTATATATATATTTATATATAATTATATATATAAATTCATATATAATTTTACATAATTACGCATAAATTTATATTATACATATAAATATTATATAATTATATTAATTAATATAATTATATTAATTTATAATAATACATATTGTTATACATAATTGTATATAATTATATATATTTTTATATGATTATATATAATTATACATAATTATGTATGGACAAATTTCACACAAAATTTTGTATGAAAAATTTTTTATCGGGTATAAAAATGATATTCCTAGCTATAATTTTTTACTATGTGTCATTATAATTCCAGGTAACTTATATTTCTCTCTCAATGTACGTTACCGTGTTATATAATTATCACAAATTCCAGAAGTAATTCTATCTCGCTGCACTTGACGATGAGTAAAGTTTCGTTAATCTCGCGACTTGATGTTTTCGTAATTTTATCAGTATATTAAATGAAGCGTGAAAGTTTCTGTTTTGACATTACGACTACTGTGCTGTTTTAAATTGCCGGAAAGCAGAAAAAGAAAAGTACAGTCGATTGCACTTCGCAAATATATACCCATTACGCATTCAACAATTTAAAAATATATATACGCCGTATCATAACGATTTTTACCTCTTCCGATCTAAAGTCAAATAAGTATTATCGCACATCGTATCGCGCTTTATATATATATATATATATATATATATATATATATATATATATATATATATATA